ATTCAGGAGTGAATCTCTGCTGAACACTCGACTCGTTAGAAATGATGATCAGCTCCAGCATGTAAACAAGGCCCATCTTATAATGTCTATATCAACTGCTCTCCTCATGTCAGTTGTTAATGCTGTTGCATGCATTTATGATTTGGAATTATTCTGCACCCAGGTTCTACTGTAACCCAATTCCTGTGCAATTTTTTCAGTATTACTTGCCTGTGATATCGCAGACGTGTAAAATAATATTAAAGCACATAATCCTGACTCCCTCGTGTGTATTTCTAATTATGCTTGGAATTTTTGTCCTACGCAATTCTTTATTTTTGTCAAGAAAAATCAGCATCCAGGTAATAGGAATAAAAAATTGTAACCATAGATTGAATTCATGGTGTGGAGGACCTGGAAATACCGAGATTTAACTAGGGATGAAAAATCAGAGAATTGGGGCTTAAAACTTGCTATTTTTATCCCTCCTCAAGATCAAAACACTTTTAAAACCTTAACACTTGATGACTCGCCTTTATAGATCAGGCTGAAGATGGAAAAGTTGATTTTTGTTTTGAACTTTGGAAAATTACATGAGTTTTCTGAAAGAATCCTAGGAAAAAGAGAGAAATCCCCCGCTCTCATCAGGGAGTTGTTTTCATTTTTGTTTTATGAAGCAGGGAATGAGAAAATAAAAAGTTTTGGACATATTGATTCAGTTTATGCACTGTTGCATTTAGGACTGGCAATTTGTTTTACAATTTAAAATAAACGAAACAAAATAAATCGTTCTTTTGAGTACATATAAGCCTTGAGGGGCTGCGGTACTAGTCAGCACAGAAGAAAGACAAGGAAAAGAAAAAGTATAAAATTATGACACAAGAACTGCAGATAACAAGGAAGGAAGCTGGGAGGCACCTCTTCAGCCCCAAAAGAGACACTATTCAAACCCTCTAACAGCTCATTTATTTAGAAAGAGAAAATGGAATTCAAGTTCAAAATTAATTTTGAGTTGCGGTTCGTTTTTTTCCCCACGAAAAAGTCAGGCTTATGTTCCGTAATCAGAATGCTTTTCTATTACAGTGGTGACTCGTCAGCCAATGCGCAATGTCAAAAATGTCTGCAGCAAGGCCACTGGACGTATGAATGCACTGGGAAAAGAAAGTACTTGCATAGGACGTCAAGAACAGCACAGTTGAAAAAGAGGATTAAGGAAATCGAAGCGAAAGCCAATGGGTAAGATTCACACTTTATTCATCTTTTACAAACAAATATACAGGGTGTCCCAGGATTAAGTACGAATATTGAAGGAGTCAATTCCTCGGGTAAAAAAAAAGACCTTTTTGTGGTATAACTTTTTTTTAAAATTTATCCTATATTATACAAAGAATCAAACTCCCAAGCTTTCAAGTTTTATTATTGCTTGGTTTTCAGTTTAAGAAATATAACAACAGGTAAAACTTGGCAACGTTGGCTGTAATTATGCTGATTTTGGTCAAATTAATGTTTAATAGATCAGAGTTTATTGCTTTTATATTTTTGACTCTGCAAGTTTTTTCTAAATTCAGTTTTTAATTTTTCATTGTCACTGTGTATATTTATTTCAGTGAAACAATTGCGAAGGATGTAAAACGCAAAGGTGGGAAGGATAAGAAACGGCGAAAAAAGTCCTCAAGCAAACATGCATCCAGCAGTGGCTCATCCTCAGATGATAGCAGCGATTCGTCATCATCTGATTCCGATTCTTCATCCTCATCGAGTGATTCTTCAACGTCGCTTTCCTCCTCATCATCTTCATCAACGTCCTCATTGAGTGACGATGATTGATGCTGTGATAAATTAACTGGGAATAAGGAAAGCAGAAATTTAAAGATTTGTATATAATTCAAGGCATTTTGGCTGGAGTATTATCCAGTGTTCGGTTTAAACCATTCGGTTGATAAGCTGATCTCCCTCTCTTATCCTTTTTGAACCTGCCTGAAACCTCTGTAATTAAGTATGCTCATGGTATCACTGCAGCTCAAACAGTACCACCCACCATTATGCCCTCGTAAAGGAAAAAGCGAAGTCTAGGTATATCTACCTAGCTCTCGTAGGACAACAGCCTGTACGGTCCATCCAATGAGATTATTTAGGTGTTTCGCTACACCATAGAATTATTGTAATAGCTATCGAGTGATTATATCAGGGTGGTCGTTTATTTGAATTTAAAATCTCAATATTTATGCAAGTATAAGGCACAAATCACACATCCCGTAAATATGAATACGCGAGAAAAAGAATGAAAAAATGAGTAAAACTAGGCTGAAATATTGATACTTTCAAAAGGCAGGATGTTTTGGGCCAACACAGACTCATTTTCAGCTGCGGAAGCATTAACAAATTGAGTGGCAACCTGATTCCAGTTGTTATCACTCAACCATGGACTCAAAACGTCCTGTCTTCTCAGTATTTCATTATTTTAGTCTTATTTTACCAATTTTTTCATTCTCACTCTCATGATAAGTAGGAAAGAATTTTCTTAAAATCACCCTTAAATATATTATCATTATGCATCACCTATTCTGACAGTAAATTGGAAATAGTGATTTTAACTTCAGGGAAGATTTTGAAAATGTATATCCGATGAAAGTATTCTACACTTACTTATCTGTAGACAGACATTCATACTCTTCAAAAATAAGTAACCTGTCAGCTTAAATTTACAATTTATTTATTGTACTAAGTTTGTTTTGGGCCTATTCTGAGGATCAACTGGACTGCATTTTGCAATTTGGACCTATAAATTCTGGCTCTTCTGGAAAAACTCTTATGTGCATAGGTAAACTAATGGCACATACGTTGTTTTTAAACCGGGCTAGAATCTATAGGTCCGAATTGCAGAATACAGTCCAACTATAGAAACAAAACAAAAAATTGTTGGTTTTACTTTAGTTTCTTAGCTTATTTTTACATGTCACGAAAAATGTGAGGATTTTTCACGCTCCTTAATGAAGAAATGTGGTCTTAGTGCATATATCATTAACAGCCGCAAGTGAACTTCAAACTGTACAGCATTTCAAAAAAGTTGTACTGATTTTTAAGAAACCGATTTGGGTATCAAGACACTTAAAACCAATATACATCATGAAAAAAAGTGCTTTAACTGCAGTTTTTCTAAAAATCTAAGAAGTACTCTCAGCTGAAATGGCCTTGAATTTTTTAACTTTTGTTCCAGAGAACTATCGCCTGGCAACTTTTCTCAATTTTCCTATCAGGAGGAAAGTATAAGTGAGGCGGCTTGTATCAAAACCTGCAATCTCCATTGCGGTGTCTAAAAATTTGGCTGCCATTCTCTTTTATTTTCAACAGAGCAAATGAGTTTCTATTTGCATATTTTTTTGAGAATTGTCTACATTTTAGCAAAAAAATTACTACAGTATTTCGAGCAAGAAGTCTCATTGATTGCTCCTTTTAAAAAATTAAAAAATCTGCCAAATTTTTTGATGTCTAAATGAAGATTGCAGGTTTCAATACTAGGCACCTCTGGTTAAGATTTTTAGACATCTTAGTACCGATATATTTAGCTGAGTTATGTTTAAACTCAAGAAAGAGGCTCATGAATGTCATTGAAGGTAATCAAACAATGTCCTTTATGTTTGTACAAGATTTTTACATAATGGGCCTGTTGCAAATCTGCTAGATCTGAACTATTAGTTGTTTCTTATGAAAAAAATGGCTCATATATCACGATGTGCGCATCAGCAAAGTCCAAAATGCACTCTAACTTCACAATCTGCTGAAGAAATTCGTGTATTTTTTAGCTTCCCGCTTAAGAAACGATACTGCGGCACAGGTTTATTACAACATTTCCTTAAAGGAGTCGTTCCATCTAACCCCTGCGCACTAGGATGCTACGCAATTTTTAACATGTCTGACGCTTCCATGCTCAAAGCTAGGGATGCGCAAGGTCAATCCAGGCTGATCTTTTTCAATGAGAGGAAAATGTGAATGTAAACATGCCAGCTGGTAACAGATGGTTAGAATCTCGGCCTGTTACATGTAATTTGGCGGACTGACATTGGCCATGTTGAATATTGCAAAGCATCCTAGTACACGGGGGTTGGATGGAACTACTCCTCTAACGAAACATTCACCTATGCTGGAGTATCGTTTTTGAAGTGGGAAGCTCGAAGAAACGCAAATTTCTTGCGCATATTATAAAGTTAGGAGTGTATTCCAGACTTTCTCGATTCGCTCATCTTGATTTTAAAGACATTTCTAAAGAAACAACTCTTCTTTATGTTCTAGCAAAAGTTTGCAACAGGCCCCTTTTTCAAATCATTTTGAATCAGCAGAAGGCTACTTCAAAGTGGCAATTTAAGCAAGTTTCTCTCTTGTGTTAGTGGCCTATTCTAGGCAGAATCAACTGATTTTTCATTTTTATAAATTATTTCCCATAAATGCATTGCACCTCTAATCATGTTTAGTGATTGTAACCTATTTGAAGTAAATCTCAAACTCTTGTATTTAAATCTAATCACAAATTTTGAAGGCGCCACCTAAATTTAAATGGGAGGCTCCTATTTGTTTCCTGATTTCATTTTGTATTTATATCTTAAGAACAGTTATCATTAAATAATTGGATAGTTAATTCCAAGGGTTAAGTAAAAATCCTATCATTTCATTATTTGTATCATCCTGAAGGACTGCTTCTTTCCTTTTGCTTCCAACCTTCCTCTTTCTGGGAATGACATAGGAGTTCTGCCGTGCTAAGGAAGAACGCCGAATGAACCATTGGGCGTTGCCAAATTTTCTTTGAAAAACAACGAATTTTCAGTAAAATTTGTAAATATTTATTTTTCAATTTTTCGGAGAATTTTGTTGCTAATTTGATCGAAAAGTTCTGAAAATTTTAAGGAAAATTATGCAAAACTTTCTTTAAAAATAAATATTTTCTGAAAGGAAATTTGGCAACATTCGAATGTTCATACAACGTTTTTCTTCAGCACGGCAGAGTTATTCTAATATCCCAGGTATTGATACTAGAGCATGGAGGATTGGTCTAAGAATACCTGGGGATGTAAAAGTTAAAAAAAATGCGCATGTACTTGAATTTAGATGGTGTGAGGCCGTTCATGAAATAAGTAAAGCTAAAAATCGGATTTTTGACACCGCTCCTTGAAACACACCCGTAACAGATTTGCTCCTCCCTTAAAAAATTAAGTAACCTGCACTTGGACCCCTTCCCTTCAAATTAGAGTTTTGTGTTGAATTATGGATGAAAAACTACCACTTGCATTGAATATTGATTTTTCAGCATAGATTTTCAAAAAATCGATGCTGTCGACCCACTCTCGTGTCATCTCATGCAGCCCTGAATGACCAGACAAAAATGACACTACTGTACTTTTGCATCCTGAAGCAAACGGAGCAAAGTCCATTTTGCTGATGAGCCCCACAATGCTACCACTCTTACAATTCATCAGCAAAAATGGACTTTGCTCTATTTGCCCTAAGATGCCCCAAATAATGAAGCAGCCAATAGAATATCTGATGTGATTACTGTAGCCAATTCATCTCTCACATGCTCTTTCGTTTCCTTTGAAGCTCCAGTTCCTGCTCCTAAGATATTGACAGTCAACGTACAGAAAGAGCGACAGGACAAAGGATGTATAAAAATTACTCATGCTAAGAAATGAGTCACTGTGAAGTGCATATTTAGTGACGCTGAAGACAGTAGCTGTGTTTCACTCACTGGTTATATTTGATACATTCTTCAGCAATGGAAATGAAATCTACATTTTAAGACAGTCAGAGCTGTCTGTAAAGATAGGTATATCGACCTATATATAGATAGGTATAGATAGGTATATAGATAGGTAAAGATAGGTATATCGACAGTGAAACTACCAAACCATGTATCTCGGTTTGCGACGTCGCAGACTTCCTGTCATACTTTATTTTTTAAATGAAAAAATTCTTAACGTCTAGTCTTGACAAATTTCAGTGATTTTTCCTCTTTGTGCGGAGAAAATTCTGTGAAAATTTCAAAGAATGATATTGATTTGGTCGACTTCAAAAAAATAAAATGCGAGCGTAGATTTTTAAACACCGCAAACGAGATACGTGGTTTGGTAGTTTCACCGTCGATATAATTTACCTAAATAAATTGCATCTAAAAATTGATTTATTGAGAGCTGTTTTATGTACCCATGCAACATTGATTATTAATTCTGGGCTTTAGAAACGCGTAAAAAGAACTGTTTAGATGTACAAAACAAGAAATCTTTTCAGGATATTTCATGTAAATTTTAGAGACAAGGGGTGCGCGAAAGTAAAAAGTCTTGGAAGAGAAAGTTTCCAAAAAAATTGAATTATGCAAAGCATTGAGCTGAGTGCTATAATATTGATGATATAAATCCTATAAAGCAGAGGCGCACCGGAATGAAGTAAGTATTCTCTGTCAGCCAAAGCAAAAAAAAAAAAAAAAAAAAAATTGGTTCATTTTGCATCTCTTCCTCATAAAGAAGCGCGCAGTAAGCGGTCCGCGAGTTGGAACCTAACAGAGCGAGAGCACAGGGGAGAATTTCATGAGGCGCCGCGCATGCCGCACGACCTGCCTTTTATTCATCTAGCGTTGAGAGTTCATTTATTACTTCACACGACCAGTGTGTAATTTTGAAAGTTGAAAATTAAAAAGAAATTTAAAAGAAAAAAAAAAAATTACATGACGTACGATTTTCTCGGCCAGGGAGCTCTTCCCTCAATCGTCCATCACCCGCCCGCGTCGGGAGCGCCGCGCCGCGGCCGGCGTGCTGCCAGCGCGAAACGCGCATTGACGCCTACAAACCTAAGGGGCTACTTCACGCATTGCGCAATGCTTGAAGTATCCCTCTAGGTTTGTAGGCGTCAGTGTGCATTTCGAGCTGGCAGCACGCCGCGCCGCAGCGTGCCATAAACTTGCCTACAAATAATGGATCAGGGTGTTAAAATGTAGGCAATTTGACATCTAATTCGAAATTTGTGACTCAAAAAAACAGCAGTTCCGAAACTTTCGTGATCTTTCAGTCATTATCCGACTATTTCTTCCTATCCTTGAGTTTTGGACTGTAGTGCGTCGCGGGCGGCCGCAGAATCATGGATTTCGTATTTGCGCGCGGCAGAGACCGCCAAAACTTTTGGTGACGTAATCAGACCCGCTTTTTGCGAATCTTCTTCTTATACATAAATCCTCAGCTCTTCAGGTGCAAATGATTTGTACGTAGAGTTTGTTGTCTTCCCTCTCATTACTTACAAATTCTATAATGGTCAAAATACATCCATTCTTTTTCCGATCAAAGAAAGAAAGAGCGCAAAAAGTGGTATAATAATAAAGGAGTCAAATGGCGCCATGACATGCTTGCCAGAGTGGCAACATACAAGCTCAAAGCTTACTGTACGTGCGATATAGGATGATCTCTAAATCTGAAGAAAACGGCTTGGAATAAAAAAATAAACAACTCTTCAACTTATTTCATATGTTTTAAGAATCATTTGCATCTCCAGTAATTTTTAGGCAAAAATCCAGGCATAGGCGGCGGAGCTAAGTCCACGGAATTTTATTCCTAAGATGGCATCTTGTATTTCACTTCCATGATTTCCCGCTTCTCGTGTAGGCCAAAACACAAGCCGTAATTTTGGGGTTAGTTGTCTGCTTGTCGTACGTGTAATCGGGGGAAAAAATCCATGAAAGTGTAAGTAGTTGAATTATTTATTTCCTCTTTTTTCGGCCAGTTTTATACGACCGTCAATATGGGGGTGCGCGAGGATGCGAAGAAAGATGAGGTGTGTCAAAAATATCTCGAGATATGTGTCGACTTAAACATGGACAAAGTGGCAGCCAATGAAGCTTGGAGCAACTACAAACTAATCCGGCAGAATTATTCTTTAGAGGTGAGTTTTCCATCATTTAGAAACATCATGATGTACGTGCATGTATCAACCACGTATCACCCAGTCTACGTTCAAACTAATTGTCACTTAACCATATGAATCCCTCTTTGCCAGAGGCAGAGCCGATACCGAAACCATGTTTTCCCTCCGTTTCTCTGTCGATGTCAATACTTGCATGACAAGAAATGTAATTACCTAAAAAATTTTACTGCACAATTTAAGCAGTGGTTATCATCATGATCGACTGTAAATACTTACCCTACTTGTGATTGTTGCCATTGTTCATGTGCTGCCAAGTTTCTATTTCACAAAAGTACTACCAGCATTGAGACAGAAAGCATCAGCTGTGTTACTTCCAGGTTTTTATATGATTGCAGCCTCCATTGTCTACCAATTAACATAACCCTTTAATCTGTCATACTTTAATTTTATGGCATTCAGAATATTACCTATCATTCGAATTCTTTCATTCTAGGGAGACCAGCTGCACTGGCTCGCTTGCGCTTTCTATGTAGCTTGTAGGAAAGCCACACCATCTACAGTTGGCCAGCCCGATACTCTGGTTGAAGGAAATCTCGTTAGCTTGACCAGATTATTAAGATCTTGCAATCTTAGGTAAGTGGTCTGTAAAACATTTAAGTGTGATAGTGTGTAAAGTTTCCCCGAAACGAATCATTTCAATTCTATGAGTATTTTTTAATCAATGTTCTTTGAAAGAACTGTCTAACCACTATTCAAGAATCTGAAATTCCCAGCCTAGATTTTTTTAAAATTATTTTTGTGGTTCGCATACTTACTGAGGAAGTAGGTAACCAAAAGTATGTAGAAGATACCCAGAGAAATTGAAATTTTTATGAAGTTTTTGGACTTATTGTTTTTTTAATGCGGTCTGTCCATCACAAAATATGAAACTCAAGCCAGAAAATATATTGGTTGACTATGTTATGGTTCTGGTTTGAATCACATTTCTTGAGCTTCCTCATTGTTCATTGTCATCAATGTCAAGTCTTGTTTGTATCACCACTCATCAAAGGTGCCTTCTGATCGCATGTATTAACTCGATGAATGGTACTGATTTGGAACCAATGAGAGACTAACTTTTGCCTTAACACACATGATCAACTACAAGGGTGATGGATCATACCATTAAGTAGCCATGAAATAGATAGTAGCTCCAGCCACCTAGAAACCTTCAGCAGTTCCGTCATATCCTTGTAAGAGCTTGCTGCGCTGCTTTAAGGTGTTTTATTTCGCAGCCTATCTTATTTTAAGGGTGGACCTAATCCTGATACCCTATGGTGAATGGATATATTCAGGATATCTAGGGATCATGAGAGTTAAGGAGAGAATGTGTAACCAGGAGCCTTGAACTCCCCTACAAAATTGTTATTTTATGCATATCTTCAGAGCATCTTAATACTGAGTTCTGCTGGGCTCTTTTCCAGTCTGTAGTGAATTTTTCCTGGAAATTCTAGCCCCCACTGATCTGTACCGGTGCTTTGATTTGAGCTTGATTCATTTTGCGTTTCTTTTTATGTTGGAAAGAAGGTGAGGGAAAATCAGAGAAAGTCAGGAAGATTTAAAGTCCAAGGATCAAGAGAAACCTGGCAAGTCCGGGTGTAGGGAAAGGAAAATTTTGCCAGACACCTTGATATCGATAGTGAAACTGCAGAAATGCTCATCTTTGTTTGTGGCGATGCAGACTACCTGTCATACTTTTATTTTCTACATGGAAAACTACTGAACATCATTTTTTGAATATTTCAGTGATTTTTCTTCTCTTTATAAAGAATATTCTGTGAAAACTTCAAGCCATGATTTTAATTCGGTTTCCTTAAAAAAAAAAAAATTTCAATGAGATTTTGAAACACGGCAACCAAGATACGCATTTAAGTATGCAGTTTCACCATCGATATTTTACTCTCACAACAATATCTGTACATTGCTTTTTTATCACTAGATTAATGAATCTGTAAAAAATGTATTATTTGCACATGCCTACCAATGATGATGCAAGCAAAATACCATTTTATAATATTGTAGATTCTATCATACTTTATCTCTTTGAAGGGTACCTTTCCATCATCGTAGCCTATCACGTCATGTCCTTCTTCCTTGCTCTTTCAAGAATTTCTTCTCTATTTATTTTGTCTCTTCGTTTCAGTTTGATACAGTTTTTTAGTAAAGCTAAGAAATGGGCAGATATGACAAACCTGGATCAAGATTTCCAGAAAAAAATTGACAGATTAGAGCGCAACTTCGCTGTGTCAATGGTTATTTTTAAGAAGTACCAACCAATATTTACAGATCTATTTTTGGACCCAGCTGCCAATGAGTCAACATCTTCTGTCACCAATCCCCACAAAAAGCAAAAGTAAGTCAAAGTTTGAATCAAGATCCTGTCCGTCTTAATGATAAATTTAAGTCACAAAGTTAGTCTACATTAAGTATACAAAGTTCTGGGCGCAGCATCTACGGGAATGCACCAAGGCCGTTTCCTCTTCATGCTGAATTGTTTCCAGGAAGGTTGAGACATTAGTCAAACATTTGGGTCACAGGATCATATTTTAATGGTTAATTCCTACAGATTTGCAAAACACAAAAAGGAAAGAGGTCTAGGGATACCTATGCTGAAAACATATTTTTACAAAAACATCCTTAAATACAGTCATTGATATCTGATCATAACCAAAAATTGATCATCACCAACCCAACACCGGGTAAAATCCAAGAATCGCCAAAAAAAGGAATTTTCAGGAAAGGCCTCATCTCTTGTGTTCAACAGATTCATTTAGTTTTTTCTTTGTTTACAGACTGATGCTGTGTACACCAAGTAGACTTTTCGATTTTTGCTGGACGCTATTCGTCACAGCAAAAGGGGAGTTTCCAGAAGTGAGCGATGACCTAGTAAATTCTTACCATCTATTACTCGCTTGCTGTGATTATGTATTTGGAAATGCCCTGGTTACTGATCGGAAAGATTTACTAAATCCCAAATTTCCGGGTAAGGAATTATGCAAATAAATTTTAACCTATAATTCTTTTAGTTATATGCTGTGCAATTTTTTTTTTCATATATATCAAGTAAGAATCATATCACCACCAAAGGTCCAACTTATCTCCTCAGCAAATATTTAATAACTGCCTCAGTACTCTTTCATTTTAATCCAAAAACTCACAAAAAAATGATAGAAAAAGAGATTAAGAAGTAGTACTTAGAATTGTAAACAATAAATTTGCAAGAGTATCATTAATCGTGGAGACTCCTTTTTAGTAGTCATCGAAAGGGTCGATATAAATCTTTCACCGTCAACTTGAACCTATATCAATCTGCAGGCCGGTTATTCAAATCTTGTTAGTACGGCACGACAAGACCAACCGCTATTTGAACCCCATAATATGTGCACAATAAATACCATTTACATCCCTTCCGATTGTCTAGCCTCGATAACTCTGTTTTTTGAGAGGTATTAAAAAGAATTTTTTCTCTTTTGATAAAAATTTTTGAATTACTCATCATGCAACTCTTCTTTTGTCTTATCCTATTGTAGGTCTACCCAGCAACTTTTTGGACAAAGGTTTTGTGCCCCCTAAAGATCCTCCTTGTATCATCCATCATTTGTGTCTCAGACATGAAGGTCTTGTGATAGAGGCCAAAAGCATCAAAGAATATTTCTGGCAGAAACACATACGGAAGTTAATTTCTAGTCAGGTAAAACTCGGCAAAAAAAAGTGATTTTTTATCATTCGTGTATGAGCTGTATATATTTCATAAATTCATGCATTTTTCGTCGTCAAATGTCATTTATTTCAATCACTATTGATCATCGAGTGACACCGATATGCTGTGAAAACTACGATCAATCAGAATCCCAATCAAGAATTGATCATTGAGTCAAATAAAGTAGAGAAACTAATACAGTAGAAACTGCATATAACAGAACGCATTGGGATCGGCCGATGTGACATTACAATGTTTTGACAGCCGGACAGAATCCCAATCTAGAAATGATCATTGAGTCAAATAAAGTAGAGAAACAAATACAGTAGAAACCGCATGTAACAGAACGCATTAAGATCGGCCGAAATGACATTACAGTGTTTGTCAGCTGGTCAAAACATTAGTACCCACTGATTAGTCTAAAATCGCAGTTTGCCAATCTGTCATTTACTGTCATTTAATAAAAAAAAAAAAAAAAAAACTTGTCAGACAAATTGTAGAGAAATATCCAAGCCAATTTTACCCATTGCTACATTATTGTAATCACTCCACTAATTTTCTTTCTTTTTTATTTTTCTCTGTGTCCAGGTGTTGAAAAGTAACTTGAGCACTTCAGATTATGGAATCCTAGAAAAAGAAAACTTTGACACAAATTTTAAGCAGTTGAACAACAAATATGAGTCCTATGTTTTAAGTGTTGGTGATTTCGATGAGAGAATTTTTCTAGGTAAAAAACCATTCCTTCTTATTTAATTTTTTCTTCCTAACAACGGAACTACAGTCTGACGAATATGCTTCATCTTCAACTTTTCTCCGTAGCTTTTATTTGGTAATGCTGTAGTTGAAGCACGCTTATTGTCTATGCAGTATTTTTGACTTGTGTGATGGTTTTTAGTTGGAATTTTTTTTTCTTACGCGGTTTAATTTTTGTCCAAGTTTTAGTACCCATATTTATTAACCTCTTTGTCGCTGATGTTTTTAACACATTCTAAGCTCCATTGCACTATTGTGCCGGATTTCAAGAAACCAGCAAGTGTTTAATTGATGTTAGATACAGTGTGCTCAGATTATGCCTGTTAGTTCTGTTATTGCAAAAAAAGTTAGGGAGAGACAGAGAAAATAATCTACATTCAGCTTCTGCACTTATTCCTGGAAAGAGGAGGCGCACTTGCAGAGGAAAGATCGGATGGTTTTACCTGAAGTCAACGTAACTACACTAAACGTTGTCTAATTTTTGGATGTTTTTTTTAAATAGAACTCAGCAACACAGAAACTTGAAATTTTTTGAGTATTTTCTTCACAATCCAGGGTAACTTGCAGAAATTTTTAAGGCGTTGTGCGGTTTAGTTCTCTGTCCAAAAAATGGAATGTGAGAGAAAATTAGGGAACTTCAAATGCAATGTGGTTGATTCTGGTAAAATTCGTCCAATTTTTCTGCAAGTAAATGTTCGTCATGATGTAAATAAACATACACTTTTCCGTACTTTCTCGCTAAAATTTACTTCACACTCTCTACTGCTTTTGCTTCCTACTTGCTTTTTTTGTCTTTGAAAGTCTGCTTGCACTTTAAGTATATTGTTTGCGTGCCACTTATTTTGAAATTCATTTACCACAATTCTTTTCTTTTATGCACCTTCGTAGAAACATATAAGCATGTGCGATATTCTCCAGTCAAAAGTTGCGCTGATAGCAAAGCTCCACCTAAGTTAGCTAGAGTTCTTAGGATTCATATTGATCAAGGTGAGATTTTTCCCCCGCTTACGATTAAAAATTTCTCCGCCATATGTGACCATCCACGAGAACAGAGACATGAATCCACTGAAACTCAAGATTGAGTCATCGATTTCTGTGCCTAGAATGGTGTGCTCCATGAACATTGTAAGAATGAAAAATGCCCCCAAAAATCAAATCAAACTTGATCCTAGGTGGTTTGAAGTCGGCAGTTCAAAAATTGTTGTTTCGAATCAAGTCATTTCAAATTTAAACTTGCCATGCTCAAGGTATGAAATTGTCGTACGCTCCTTATTGGCACAGAAATGAACCAAGTTCTATAGAAACACCAAGTCGCATTTCAGAAAAAAATGAGTTGAATGTAGTTTTGAACTCATCTGTCTATTAAATTTCTCCTAGCAATAATTCAAAGTGAAAACAATTATTTTAAAATACTTTTTCAGTCTTATGGAGGTATAAAACTTCATACCGCTTTCTTTTGGCTCACACTTGATGCAACTTGGTGCATTTCTGTTGAACTCAAGACAAAGTAATTAATTCGCTTGCAACTAATTTCTCACGGGACGAGAGAGAGTTTTCTGTGATTTTTCATCCCATCTCAACAAAAATCACTCCCCTGAAAGTTAAGTCCCAGTGGACTGTCACATATCCTTCAGAATCTCATATTAGATATTCTTGATTTTTCCTGCTCTTATGAAGTAAATCTTTTTATTCATTTGCTTAATTTTAGAGCTTTTACAGTGAAAAGTTACTTAGTAAATTTTCAAAATGAAATTAAGATAAAGAAAGTAAAAATCACCGGTTCTTGGTTTCAATTTTCAGCTGAACATAGTCTGTTTTCACACTTTTTTATGTCAGTACACTGCTTGCTCAATTTTTTTAAACTATGTGTGATAATTAAAAAAATCTGTCATTGATAGTGTGCATTTAGAACTGAACGCTTGGTCCCCTCTTATTATAGTTCGCGTGGCCTTGAAAAATGCTTGAATTTTTCTCTTCATTAGTAAATAGCATTTAAATGCACAAAGGTATTAATTGGATGGTAAATTATAAAATAATACATAAAAATAAATACTGGTCATACTTCTCAGTGGTTGAACCACAAAACCAAGAATCTGGATTATAACGTTTTATTTTTTTTTTCCATTTCAGGAGATAACAGAGCAAGCGAGATTGGAACTCCTTCTAAACTCGTGGGTCCGAATGAAGAGCAAAATTTCCAAGAAAAGCTGAAAGCCAAGAAAAGAGAGCTAGACCTACAGCAGAATGAAATAGTAAGTCAATTGCCTCTCTTCGCAGAGAGTCCAATTAATTAATTATTCACTCCTCTTTCTTTTCATCATGTTTCAGTTTTGTAATTTTAAGCAAAGGTTGGCTCCGCATCCAGTTGTGGAAAAATAACTAAGCAAAATTACCTACATGTTCAAGATAAAAGCTCTAACTTTCCATCTCTATAACTGAATTTTGCTTTGCTTGCCTCTCCGAGAGAAAAAACAAGCAAAAAACTTATCGTATATCGAAGCTGCAAGTCTTTCCTTTTTTAAACTCCCTTGGTTTTTTTTTAGGTATCAAAGCAGCTTCATCCCGCAACTCCATTGACCGGCAGAAAGTATCTGAAAATCAAAGATAGTACCATCACTCCAGTGTCGTCTGCAACTCAAAGTGCTGCAAGACTTCAAGCCATCCTGGTCGGGAGGCATCCTGCACCTAGCGAAGCTCTCTTAGAAATCTACAAGTAAGCATTAATCATTTTCACTATTTGCTCATTTAAGGACTAATGTCCAAATTATTAAAAAATTATAAATTTTTTAAAAATTTTTAAAAATTATAAAACATTTTCACAGAGAACTTAACTACGGAACACATTTAAACTTTCCGCAAAATTCCTGATCATGAAGAACACTCTCACAAAATTTCAAGTTTCAGTGTTGCTTCATTTTCTGTTTAAAAAGTAAAACATTAAAAAAAATTAGGCAACTTCTGATTTAGTTCGGCTGATCATGGTTAAATCCCCAGAAATCTTACTCTCAAATATCAGAGAAAGCAGTAAATTTTTTTCAATAGATAGAAATTGTTACACCTTGTTAGATTTTCTAAGCTCTTTTCAGTTGGAACCATCAGAACAAAGATTTTGGGAAAGTTTAATTAAGTAAACAAAAACTGATACGAAGTACTCATATCTTCCAGGTCAGCTTCAAAATTAATGACAGACAGAGGTGGATTCAGGGTTAGGGTCTTGTTGGCATACAAAAAATTCCTCATTCCTTTTGCCTTGGTTGCTTGACCAAAACCAAGTTTGTTGAAACCAAGGTGAAAGGAAACCATGATATGCACCACCATGGTGGACGACATACGGATTTTTGAAGAGTGATATTTCTGCTCATATGTATTAAACATGAAAACTTGGTGTTTAGATAGATCTGATCATTTTTTGCTGATCTATACTCTGAAATCATCAAAACATTATTCTGTGACGAACTCAGCCGATCCATTGATAAACATGGCAAATCCTTGAAAATGAAGGATTAAAAGCTTCAATAGTCAGGAAATGGGCTGACACCCCAGCCCATTGTATTATCACACACCAAGATCAAAGAAATGAAACCAGTCAAAAAGTCTCCAATTCTTTTATTCGGTTTTTCTTTAAAAATTGTGAAAATGGAGAGTTTCATTGTGCATTTTTCATTTTCAGTTCTTGCGAGAAAAACCCTAAGGACGATATAGAAAACGAAGTAGAGAGATTATCTGCACTGTTCAGTCAGAAGTACAAGTGGAGCACCGATTCCAGTAGTCAAAATCGCATAGATTTTGCGGCGAAAAGACTGGAAACAGCGAAGACTCTGTTTTATAAGTTACTACAAAATATTATCCTTAGTGAACAGAAAAAAGCATCTTATGACCATAGGGTAAGTCTTTTTTTTTCTCTCTCTTTTGCAGGTTACTCTCAATATTTATCTTGCACCAGTCTCATTTTGCAAACCTGAATTCAAATAAAGAATCAGTTATAATTGATCTGTTTAAACTTTGATTGTACTCATCATTAAAACAGAAAAAATTTCCATTTAAAAGAAACAAGTGTTGATGCAGTGCTTGTGTACATTATTAACACAAAAGCAAAGAGATAAGGGTTCTTGTGTAAACGGTGTTAATTTTAAAAGCTGGCTGGTAAAAAAAAGCCGTATCTGGAGTCTTTAGATCGTAGCAAACATGACAATTGAGGAAAATTCTGGGTTGCGTGGCAGTTTTTAAAATTCATGATCTCTCTTTCACCCCCCCCCCCCCCNAATTTTCCGAGTGGCGAGAACGCACCAACAGAGGGCATTTTGGAACTTAATTCACCGCTAGAGCACAAGTTCATTTTGAAAATCTTACCGTCTAATTGAACTGTGTTTCAAGATCTGATTAAATGTGCTTTAAAGTCTGTGTGACAAACATTTTGTGTATCATCATTAAGTTTTTCTTTTCTTCTTTCCAGATTCCGTTAAGTCAAACAATTTTCATTCAAACGCTCTTTGCATGCTGCTTAGAAATAGTGATTTACTCTTACCCTTCTCAACGCACTTTTCCTTGGATTTTGGATACACTTGAAATTAAACCGTACCATTTTTACAAAGTTATTGAAATCATCGTAAGGACCGAGGAGCAACTCTCCAGGGAAATCGTAAAACATCTCAACACGGTAAGATTTCTACTCACCTTGTGCCAGAAGGGAAAATTTCCTCTTTCTACAAACGCTTCGTAATTTATGAAATTGTTTTAGCTATGTCTACATAAAGAGATTTTGGTTGAAAAGATCTGTTGGCTCATGACTCTTATTTTCTGGTTAACAGAAAGAGTCCTAAGAATTTTACTGACTGAAAATCAAGAATAGCAACAGATGGTGTACTTACTGAATGAAAAATGAAGGCAACCATTCCATAGGGAATTTTTTAATTTTCTTCTCTCATGAAGTTCCATTACCTTGGCTAAAGCAGTGAGAAAATTTACATAACTTTATTGAGAGTGCTTAGTTATCATTTTGGCAAAAGGCAGACATTTCTTGAAAATGCCAGAGATTTTTCCGATGGCCTGTAAACAAATCCCATGAAAGCACTGCTGGTACCTTTTTGTGTCTTGAACAGCCCCATATTTAATTTAAGGTAGAAAGGAAGTGTAAAATGCCAACTGCTCATGTCGTTTCTTCTCTCATTGTTTTTTTTGCTCTTTCTTTCTTTCCGTAGATTGAAGAGCAGGTTCTCGAATCGCTAGCCTGGCAATCTGACAGCCCTCTTTGGGATAACATTGCCACTGCATCTATTACTACAGAATTTCCTAATGCTGTGCCATCTTGTGAAGATGTTTCCCTACCAGGACAGCTGCAGTTGAGCGATCCTTCCTACAATCCTCAATCCAGTAAGTCGTTTCATTCATTGGCTCAGCAGCCGCGATATCATATGCAGAGAAAATATAAGCAATGTAATTGCTTACATTGGCAAAAGTCAAGTTTGGAAGTTAATGCTGTTTTAATTTCTAAACTTCTGGCTGTGTACATCGCCTTCCATGTGAGACATTGAAGAGAGAACATGTGACTTTTTTTCTAGTCTAGACTTTTTCAATGGTCCATTCAATGAATATCATGAAAAATTGAGGTTTTTGGAAATTGTAAGAAAAAAAAATTAAATAATATTTTTACAGGTAAGAATCATCCTATGAAAACCGTAAGTTAGAAATGTAGCCAATGTGAGTGACACTAAAATCTCAACACAGAAGGAAAAAGCTCATCCAAGTACAATTTTCCCTGTTAGAGATACGCTTATTTCCAACTTACCGTCTATACAACTCGTGTCTATCGCAATCAGCTTGTGATCCCATGAAAAAGTTTGAAGCTGAACTTACTTTATGTAGATACTTGAAACTTTATTACTTGATGACCAATAAATTATCAGTTTCAATAAAACACACCTCTAAGTTCAATGATGACCTTTTAACTCATCAATAAGATTGATGATCCAATTGATTTGGAAACGTTTAAGATGTGGCTGGGTGAATGACTTTTTGATCGCAGTAGCTTCACAAATGAAACCTACTAAATTACTATTACTCACTCAGAGGAAAGATCGAATTATTAAAAAAATGTAAGGCTCTACCCCTCCAAAATCTGACTCAAGAATTTCTCTCATAGTTTCACCCCAGATCCCAATATTAATAACAAACACGTTTATGGAAGGTTTAACAGTCTTTTTATTTATTGGGAGTGATGAAAAATTTTAATAAAAAATCCTCACTTGATTCCTTTCCTCTCAAATTTGTAGATACTAATAACACCTCAAGTGTCACCCAATCCCCCGTATCGGAACGATTCCAGTCCCCAATAATCGGCAGCAACTACGCGAAGAAGAAACTATTTCAAGATGGCTCCACCCCCAAGTCGAGTCAATCTCTTCTCCAGCAACAACTGCAGCCTTCTTCGCCCGCAAACCAGCAAAGCTCCAAAGTTGTCGCCATGAGCATTAAATGTAAGTTTAGTTTTTTGTGTGTCCCTAAGTCTGAAAGTCTGGAAAACTTCCAAAAAAGTGCAGAAATTTTGTCGTAAAGCCTAAAGCAGTGGGAAAGTGCGAAAAATATATATACGACAGTCAGAATACAAATGTCACAGCTTTAATATAACAAGTAATTTTCCAAATAAGAGGCGGAGACGGTAAAGAGTGGGGACAAAGGCTGTGCTAGCAGCTGTCTCGCAGGTGTTATTTCAGTCAGCTCGGATGCAAGCTGTGTAAAATTACTTCATTGCTCGCCGAGATGGAGTTTTTAAAATTTTTCCATCAAGAAGATCATGTACTGTCCTTACATTTCTCCGAAGAATTTTGTAAACATCCTTTCATCATACAATACTTGTGTACAGAATTTAATGAATCGAAAATTTTAAGTTATACATGACAGGAAGAGGTCTCAATCGAATGCGTCTTCCATAGGGTTTTCTGTATTTGTCTTTGATTTTTTTTTTTCGTATAAATGTTTTGTTCATCAACAGTAAATACATTTTCAATTTTTTTGTTTACCAGTAATTGAGAAAGGCGGGAAAAAATACATTTCTATGACCCCAGCCCCAAATCAAGCCGCTGCTGACTCAACCCCCACTGTTGACACGACACCCCAAGTGAAGGAAGTGAAAAAAGCCAAAAGAACTGGATCTCTAGCTTTATTTTTCCGCAAGGTAAGATATCCTTTCACCCCTTATTATTTCAGGGTGTCTGCAAGTCCGGAAATAGTGCTGATTTTTTAAAGGCGGTCCGGAAGTATTGTAAAAGTGCGGAAATTCCGTCAGAAGGTCCGGAATTTTTCATTTTTGTCGCAATTTGAGAGAGAAATTCAAATTTTTGAAATTTTTCGAATTTTGTCAAATTGAGGTACTGAAAATGTACTGAAATTTTCCGTTGAGGAAGTACTGAATTTCTCGGGAATGTACTGAAAAAGTACCGTAAAAGTACTGAGTTTTGGCCAGCCTGATTTAGTAGACACCCTGTATTTGTTTTTTTTTGTTTTTTNTTTTTTTTTTTTTTTTTTTTTTTTTTTTTTTTTTTTTTTTTTTTTTTTTTTTTTTTTTATCATATTCAGAGGCAAACCCACTTTAATTGAGCAGAGATAGGTAAGTAAACTTTTTAAAAGCTAAACAATAAAAATTACAATTATCTCTCGTTTTGGTTAAATACGGAAAGCTGGAGTTTCTCCTGCCATGCTGGTTGATCAATCTTGGTCTCGATACTAGTTGCATATAAACCTCTCCGCAATGTCGGTGTAATCATGATCACACCATGATATAGGTTNAAAATCGGTCGGCGCGCGTTGAGCGGAAACTTCAATCGATCATAACTCCGGAACCGTTTGGTTCCCCACCTTAATGGACCACTCGTTGGATGCGGAAAAAGACGAACAATTTAAAAAACTGGTTTTGGTTCAAATAAAAAATTGAGATCTTTGTAAATTTTTCGTTTAAAAGAAATTTTCTAGACCTAAAAACTGGAAAAAAGCACATATGTTGAATTAAAAATGTGATATCGGGATTTCGACCTTTAGAATCTTAAAGTATGCAATTTTAGACGATTTTTCGTCCAAACCGGACCTCGATATCTTTCTTTGTTCAAGAGATATCAAGGTTCACAGGTTTTGACTTCCACCCCCCCTAGCTCCCCCCCAAAATTTTTTGGGAGTCTGAAAATTTGGGAAAAGAAGCGCTCAAGTATGAGTAATCAATAGACAAAGTCTGAAGAACTTCCAGAGGGGGGGCGAAAAAAGCCGTTTTTGCATCAAGCTCTTTTCCATTGAGGAAGTACTGAATTTCTCGGGAATGTACTGAAAAAGTACCGTAAAAGTACTAATTTTTGGCCAGCCTGATTTAGTAGACACCCTGTATTTGTTTTTGTTTTTTTTGTTTTGTTTTTTTTATCATATTCAGAGGCAAACCCACTTTAATTGAGCAGAGATAGGTAAGTTAACTTTTTAAAAGCTAAACAATAAAAATTACAATTATCTCTCGTTTTGGTTAAATACGGAAAGCTGGAGTTTCTCCTGCCATGCTGGTTGATCAATCTTGGTCTCGATACTAGTTACCTATAACCTCTCCGCAATGTCGGTGTAATCATGATCACACCATGATATAGGTTGACCCTCTATAACAGCTGCTATTCTGAAAAAATAATGTTGTACGTCATCAACTCTTTTAAGGTCAACCTGAAAGTAGAGCGGCCAGACAGGGGATGCATAGAGATGATAGGCATCTTGTTTTATTTCCTTTTCCAAGTTTTTTGAGTCACGAGAAGAAAGATCTCATACAATCCGATCTTTACCTTCTAAAAGCAAAAATAAGCACTTTCAGGTCATATTTGGAAATTATTAATAGACTGCTACTTTTTTCAACTTCGTAAATTGTCAGTCAAAAAAGTTACAAAACATTTGCTTCTCTGTCAATAAAATTCTGGTATTTTATCCCTCAAGTTTATCAGTCACTGATGATAAATTTTTGGTTGTAACCGTAGCTAATTTAATTCAATTATCCAATAACGACGCGTATGAGGTGTAAATTAAACCATCAATTTTAATAATGTTTGGTTTTTTTCTTTTTCCCTTGCTCTATAGTTTTATCACTTAGCAAGTGTGAGAATGCAGGAACTATGCTCACAGTTGAACGTATCAGATTTTGAGCTGCACAGGAAAATCTGGACTTGCTTCGAACATTCGATTGTAAATCACGTGGATTTAATGAGGGACAGGCACCTTGATCAACTACTCATGTGTGCTGTGTACGTCATCTGCAAAATAGTCGGTCCAGAACGAACGTTCACCGACATAATGCGCTGCTACAGGTATCAACCTCAGGCAACGTCACATGTCTACCGTAGTGTCTTGTTGAAAAAAGGACCTGTCTCCAACAGATCAAGCCCTGTCACGGACGAAAACAACAAATCCAAGGATGATCCAAAAACGGTAGAAGAAGAGAGAGGAGACTTGATTAAATTCTATAATACTGTGTATGTCAAAGTTATCCAAAACTTCGCTCTCAAATTCTCGAATAGGTCTGCGCCCAATGAATCTTTAGCTTTATCTCCTTTACCATTTGTAAAATCTCATTGCATGTCTCCATCAAGGAGATTATCTGAAAAACATCCTGTTTACATTCGATCTCTTGACTCCAAAGTACTCCCCGCTTCTCCGTCTAAACCCTTAAGTTACTGTTTTAGCCGGAGTCCTGCAAAAGACCTGAAAGCTATTAATTCAATGATCTCCGTTGATTCAGTAAATCATGGAATTAACAAAAGGCTTTTAGCTGATGATAATGATGTTGTTAGTTCAGCCCCCAAGCGGTCAGCACCTCCTGTCCTCGCCCGAAAATTACAAGATTTAATTGGTGATCGGTTGAGCCAGTTGAAGAAAGATTAGTTTGACTTCTGCAAAAATTTGCTGTTATTCAATCAATATTTGTATTATATGCATTGATAGTTTGTTTTTGCCGCCCTTGTCCTTCTTCTTTATCTGCACTTAGCCTGTCCCAGCATGAATCATTAAATAATGATGACTAATCAATTATTAGTCGTAAATTTTTAAACGGTAGACTAATGTAGTTATTTTGGATGTTTGTGGAACGATTCGGTCATCGAATGTCATCCTTTTAGGTTGTTTTTAAAATTTAACGAGTTTTATGAACTTCTCAACTTGCTTTGAGTGTATGTTGTTTTATAATCGGCTCCTCTAAGTTTTTCATAGTTTTGCTCTTATCTGTCCAAAAGGTTAAGTAGAGGTTTCACTGACAACAATGATGTTCATTGTTTATGATTGAAGAGTTTTATTTTTCAATTCTTTTTGTTTGCAATAGCTTGATTGCACCATTGATCCAATTCGCTATAAGTTTTATAATCAATGTTTAAGTAAATTCGATGGGTGTGTTAAAATTTGTAGAAATAATGAATCCTAACACTGCTGATCAGATGACTTTTTGTAAAAAAAAAAAAATTCTGTTTGCAGTGAATTTTACGAATGTCAAGACTTTTCGCCCAAAAAATGTTTTATTATTTTTATCAGAGTTGCAAGGATGAAACTAAATAGGATGTGTGCAGGACTGAAAAAGCTGGACAATAATATTTTAAAGTTATCAATTTTTTTGGAAAGATTTTTTTTTATTTTGAGAAATGGTGAGATCAATCTTAAAATTGACAGTAATTTTTTTTCTTATGAATGCTGGTAGGTCATCAATAAAGTAAATTAAAAAATTCTTGGCATCATAGCCAGGAAAAATCTAATGAACTATAGAATTTTTCTTTTGCGTTTTGCTGGCAAAGTCTGAGCATTTTCAAATATGTCAGCGGTGAAACTGTGCATAAACATGTATCTCAGGTTGCGAAGCTGTTGACTTCTGTCGTATTTTATTATTTTGATGAAACAGTACTCGATATCATCTCTTGAAAACTTTCCTGACTCCCCTCGTCTGTAAGAAGAATATTCCGTACAAGGTTAAAGAATCAGGGTTAGTTAGGTCTCCCTTGGTCACATAAAATGGAAGCAGAGATTTTGAAACATCCTAAAGCAGATGCATCTTTTCGCAGTTTTGCCGTTGATTTTTAGTTGTTTATGCATGTAGATCAACAAACAGGCAAAAACATAAGTTGCTAGCAATTTGCATAAAATTATTTGCATGTTTGAGATCGCTAATAGACAAAGTAGTATACATATGTATCGATAAAAAAGTAGGATAATTTTTGGTTTAAATTTAATATGTAGCTTGTGAAAAGTCTTAATTATTTAGTGCTTGTCATAATCAAGCTCGTCTTTTTTTTTCAAATTCTAATGTCACACAGTCTTGTCCTCTTCCAAGTTCCATTCTGTGATTTTTGCTAAACTTTTACCGCCAATTAGAGCACTGAAAGACAACTGAAGCACTATTGGTCTAATTTAAGCACTGCGCTTTAATTGTGCATTGCCCATTCATGGCTTAGGTGTGTTTTTCTAAAGGGTCTGAATTCACTGAACTAAATTTTTTATGGTCTACTTGTTGTTTTTACCTCTCATTTCAACTTTATTTCTTTTCTGTGTAGATACCTTAACAGTTCTTTTTTACTTTGGGTAACATTTTATTTCTCTAGATTATTTATTTTTATTCGGCAGAACAATATTTTATATTTATCATACCTAGAAACGCTTTCTCATGGGTTATGAGCAAAATCAAATCAGGCGAAGTTCAATTTTTCGATGGCTGAATGTGAAAAATGTGTATCTCAAGTGCATCGCTTTGAAGAGTTTGAAACTTTGTTGTACCACCTAATTCACTCACAAGAGACAATCAATTAACTGAACTAATTGGGAGCAGACTGGTTCCGATAATCGAAAAGTTTGGATTATGATAGAACAAGAATACGAACACCAAGTAATAAATAATGAATTAGACCGTTAAGAATATGAATTAAAATACTATGCGGAACGAATGAAAACCAAAAAAAACTAGACAAATAGAACACTCCACAGAATGAAAAAAAACTGGAAAAAAAAACCTTGCACCATCAGATATTGCACCTAACATGGAACATCTTGGTCTGAAGTTTGGCCGCACGTACTTTCCAAATCAGTTCGAATAATCGATAGTCCACTGTACTTTCTTTTACAAGACTTACTTTTTATTTTCACCTCCTTGCAATCAAGTACGATTTCCTCCTGAGAGAATGAAGAAAATTCAGAGAAAATTTCATTAGAAGTTGTTGGTTAGTTTACCTAAAAAAAAACCAAGTACCTATAAAAGGAGACCTACAATATCATGATGTGAGATACGCTTTTTTACTTTACCCATCGATTTTTTAGTTTTTCGTGAATCATGAAAGAGGAGATGTTTGTATCGCCAATTTGTGTACTCAAATCAGGAGAAGTCATTTTTCAGATGTTTTTATTTTGTATGTATGTGTCTGCCTTGCGCACTACCCAATTTGTTAGTTCACAATCGTCCCAAATTTTATTTCAGTGAAGGAAAATAATATTATTGATTTTGTTATATATTTTGCCGCACCCAATCAGAATTTTGATAGTCTTGCCTTTGTGTATAAGTATGAATTTTCCCGGAACACATGAAGCGAAGAGCCAAAGGATCGGAAGAAAATTTACATCCGTTCAGGATATCAGCAGGCTCCCTGCCAAGTGCACTTATTTTCTCTGCAATCAAATCTTGAAAGCTCTCCCTCACTTTTTTTCCTCATTTAAATCAATCCCTTGTCAATCAAGAATCGGTTTGAAACCCAGTTACAGACATTATTGTTTTCAGGCAGTATCGTCAACTTCCGGCCAAAATATCACAAACCCATTTGTGCCTAAGCACAGTGTTGTTTAACCTCTCAAACTTTTCCAATTTTTTGTAGAGATTCAAAGGAAAAGAATCACTTAAACTTGATATTTCTTTTGTCATCAGATTGATCCTGACACATAAAGGCAAGTGTAAGAGTTGCATAGAAAAAATTAAAACAATTGTAAGATAGCGTCCAAGCGCAAATGGTGCTTGTGACGAAATAATTTGGCCCAAAGGTGACAATATTTTGAATCGTGTAAGCCCTTCCAAAGTTGAAGTAACTAAGTAATTTGTAGATATATATTTGAAAAATCATTTGTTGTTCACATTTTTATTTTTATGTTTGATTTACATGACTAAAACCTCCTTTGAGTTCGTATAAAAGGTTGTTTTCTTTGCATGCCACGTTCAAATTTTATGATTAACTTCTTTCCCTGTACAATTATCTAATATTGTTGACTTTGGTGTAAATTTCACCAATCATTTTTGTGTATCATTTGATTAGATAGGTAGTATTTAAAGAATAAAGAGATTTTATTTTTTAAGAGGAGTTTCTTGCAATTTTTAATTGAGTTGAAAAGATAGAAAAGTTTTAAGTACCAATAAATCATTAAGTTTGTAAAGATAACAAGAAAGAACAACTAAATTTACTCATCTTTCAATGTAATGATCCTTTTACATTTTCATTTTTCTCCTTTTTTTAAGCGTCTGTACGTTTTATTACTGTATTTTTATTACAATTTTTAATTTCATGGCGCAACTTAATTTTTCAAGGTTAATTTAATTTTGAAAAGGCAATGAGTTTAAATTTCATAGCATGATTTTAAACACTTTTATTTTTTAATCTTAATTTTTTTTCTCACATGCCCCCCCCCTCCCCTCCCCCTTGTTCTCTGGGATTTCAATTTATGGTGGGGGCAATTTATGGTGACATTCTTTTAAACGATTCTCCGACCCTTAAAAGTTTCATGCCTCTTTCCAGAAATGCTTGATTTTTATAAAAATTATTGGCTTATGGTTCTCATCCTCTGTTAAAGTGTTAACTCTTTTGAATAGCGCTCTTTTAATTTCTACTTTTTTCCTATCTCATTTTATGTATTAATAAATTTAAAATGTAATCGCACTGGTGGAAAATCGAAGTTTGCACTTCTTGTTCCTCTTCAAAATACACAGTCAGGTGTATCTTCAAAATACATAGTCTGGTGTATTTTTGCTGTAATTTTCTGAGAATGTGTACAAAACCAAAGCCTTATTTATTTCTATCATGATTTTGTGTCTTTGTGTGTTTGCGTCTCGTCCCTAGAAGTTTGTTGACAAGATACAAATTACTCGAATCAGTATGATTGTTCAAAAGTGTCATGCTTATTTAATTTTTTCTATCTTCAAGAAAATCTATATATTTCTTTTCCTTTATTATTTTGTCTGCAGTCTCTCTATTTGCAGAGCAAACTCTAGCACTTATCTAATGGTGTAATTAAAATGTTTATAAAAAAAAATAATACTATTGCTATCAGCTTAAATTCGATTGTATTTTTTTCATAATTTTTTTCCTTTTTTAAATTTTAACTGAAAGTCATTCTTGTTTAAGCTTCAGCGTTTTATTGATTGTAAACTTTTTGAATACTTTCTAACACTTCATCTCTTGCATAAAGGAACATAACTTGTCTGCGCTATTTCAGTATTTCTACAAATATTTTACTGTCTCATGGCAATACCGACATACGAATTGGTCTGCAAATTTCTGAGTCTTTTCTCACAAGGGTTAGGAAAATTCATGCGACAGTTCTCTACATAAAATGTAAGTAAGAAATACTGAAACAGTGCAATGAAGATATGCTCCGTGGTGCAGAGAAAATGTTATCTTACCTAGTAATGAACATAGAACTTATCACCTATACATTTTCACTTTTAGATTCAAGTGTTTTGGCAAGTGCCATTTTCGGCCTCTACTTTATTACCTTCAGAAGCGTATGATATGGATTGATGGATATACTCTCAGAATAATTGTCCTTAACACGAAGAAAATTAAAAGAAAAAAACAATCCAAAAAGTTTCCATGCGGTGATGGTTAGTTCATCACTAAATAATGGAGCATGACTTGAATTTGTAATGCCACCCATTGGCTGTCAAAAGGAAGGAGGTCCCTCATGCACTGTCGTTTCGGTCGCTTTTAACCAGAATCTGCCTAACTGCATTTCTTGTTTCATTTTTCTAACAGAGAACTGAATTAATTTACGGTTTTAAACTTCCCGTTACTGTATCCCAGATTTAGCAGAAAATTCTCACAAAAATTACAGTGTTGCTTAGTCTTCTTTTTAAAACATAAAATATTAGGGCAATGAATGTCTGAGGCCTCATTATTTACTTGTTTCAAAATATCTGTAAACAGAGACGTGCGGAGGCAAGGGAGTAAAAAACAGGAAAAACTTTATAATTTGAAATTTTCTCAATTTGAATTAGAGGCATTCGATTTTAACGGATACATTGTAAGGAGGGAGTAAAAAGCTGTGAAAAACTTTTTAATTTAACAGAATTTTTTTTAGTTGAAATTTAAGTGTATTTCAATTGAGTTTTTTCATCTATCGTTTAAAAAAGAAAGAACTCTGTACAGTAAAAAGTTTGAGCCAAAAATTTTCCTAATTTCAAGATAGGAGCCCGAAAAATTACATAAGCATACTTTTGGAGGCGTTTTTTAAGCAACGCGAGCTACAAAGTTGGTTATCTTTAGTTGATGTTCAATGTTTTCGCCGACTGATTGAAAAAGCTTGTTGTCTGGCTGGTTGGTCAAGATTCCTTCATCGTCGATTCGCAAAATTGCAAGTTTTTGGGCCTGAATGAGAGAAAAAAGTCTGATCTACAGACTGAAATCCTTGGATTTTGAAACTAATCGTTCTAATTCTCTAAATTTACCGTCAACTGAGAGCACCGTAGGCGGGAGGCCAAGATTTCTTGTGGGGAAACAGGACTTTTTCTGCTACAAAGTTAAGAATTTTGATGGTCGAGGGCTCTAAATATTCACAAAACTGTAATCTACAGACTGAAATTTTCTGATTTTGAAATAAAGGTTACAAAGGGATGAGAAAAAATGTTAAAAGTCAATGATTTTAAATAAAGATTTCTTGGGTACTTATATTTATTATAATTTTTTTTTTTTTAAACTTCACGACTTAAATTAAGCATACTTTACCATGGTATGACGTTTTTTCGTTGTTAACATTATTTCCTTCGCAGTATGTTCAAGATTCACGTCTGCTAATTTGCACTCAAGATTTGGGATCTTTTCCTGACTATCAGTAATTTTTGCACTAAGGGATTCCATTTCTGAAATAATGCTTGCATACTCTAGTATACTGCAACTACCTTCTGTTTCGCATTGACACAATGATTCAATTTGTCTAACAGTATTATTTACAAGCTGCATCAGCTCACTAATGTCTTCCTCACTTTCAGGGAGGATGATATTTTTAACCTTTAAATTGCAATTGCTTACTCGCAAAGCATGAGATAGATTTTCTATGAAATTAACATTAATTTTTTTCAATATGGGGAAACACTGGTCACATTTCTTTTCAGCCATTTCGAGACCATCTATTTTTTCTTTGATCACTTGAAGCTGAGTTAAACGGCTCGTAACAGCTTCTAAATTTCTCTCTTCTGAATGTAGCTCTTTCTCTAAAGGGGCTAAGCGATTGAGTGCCTCCGCTTTCCTCTTTTTCTGTTCCTCTTCTGCCAAAACTTTCCGTGCTAGAGCCTGGATGAATTTTATGTGTTGCAGATCCGCTTTTGATAACTTGTCATCGTCAGATTTTTCTGCCATTGGAGGTTTGGAAGAAATTGCTGCTACTCCAGTCGCAGCAGGAATAGTAGGCATGGACAAACTTTTGCGCATCCGATTGCTTTCTCGTTCCTTGCTCATGGCTGGAATTGAGGAGAATAAAATTACAATTCAATTTTTGACTACATAAACAAATGCAATGTTGAAGGAAATATATATTACCTTCAGACGCTTTGCGATACACGTCCTGAGGAACATAAAATGTGCAAAAAAAAATTTGGCGCAATTTATTTGAACCTATTTTTGGAAAAAAGTTCCACGAGTCCCCTACTTATTGTACACTCTCATTCTGTACTGATCTTCAGTACATGGTGCTGAGGCAAAATGGCTTGAGGATGAGGAATTAATTACTTCACTGGTTCTTTTTTAGATTGACATAATGGCAATGTGTCTTTGTGTGCGGGTGACAAATTATTAGTGTTTTCCTTTGTTCATGCGTAAACGTACACAAGAAATGCTAGGATATTGACCTGACCTGAGCTCGGTGCTGGTGAGTTGAATGCGGTGGTATAACAGGTAAGATCTACAGATAAGAAAAATTCACGCATCAGCCCACTTCCTCGGAGTGCGACCTAAATCCTTATCTCTTTGACTAATATAGTAACTGATAGTAAGTGAAGAATGCATCCTAAATCCTTATCTCTTTGACGGATACTGATAGTAAGTGAAGAACTCCTAACAACTTTTGTCATGATCATTGCACGCTTTATATATTTAAATTTTTGCGCCTTTCAACAGCAGATTTTTCCTTCTTTTTAATTGGCCAATGAAAATACTGACAGTAAAGTCTGCATCAAGCGACAAATCGAAAATACACAACCGAGAGGAGAAAAAAGGCGAAACACCTAACAGTAACTACAAAAATTACTTAACAAAAATTTTATTTTTACAATTTCTAAATATTCTGTAAATCTTTTTAAGTCTTTTCTCAATGGATTATGATTTTTGTCAATCGAAGTGCTGCAACCAAAAGTATGCCTTGAAAGTTGAGAAGTTGAGCAATTTTCAGTTTAAATCTTTGACAACTCTGTTGTTTTTGTTCCCCCACTTCCCCTCACAGCCAGCTGACCTAACCTCACAATTTCAATCCAAAATTTTGGCTCGCAACACGTGAAACGTGAAAACTTTCCACAATGTGTGAATTCTCTAGTTTTAAACCTCTTTAATCTGTATATAGATACCATATAATGGCTAAACTTAGCACTCGGTTCGATTTATGCCGCTTAATCGATCTCAAAAGTTTATTAGGAGTTTCTGAAGATTCAGAACCCGGCTGCGTCATTGTCACTCTTGGCAAGAACATTGTCATTAGATTCAAAGTAAGTAACTTTAAATTTAGATTTTTGTACTATCAGCTACGCCGTAAACAGGAAGCTGTAAAGTTTCCTCTGAAACCGTAATTTGTAGCTCAAGTGATTCGAATCTCTTTTATGAATGTATGCAAGTTGAACCCCCAACCCGTATTGATCGAGCACTCTGCACCCAGATAGGCTGGTATTCAAGAGTGAAGGGTGATGTTTTATCAAAAGTATCCATTATTTAGTCCATGATCATTCCTGAATAACCTCTGTGGCTTTGAATCGCACATTGTCACTCACACTGCTCCAAGGCAGTGTCAATAAACTTATTCTAGGTATGAACGGGATTGTAAGAGGCAATGCTCCTGTCTGAACAGTCATGAAACTACAGCTCAGCAGTCTTGAATGAAATATAAAAACAGTAGCACTGAGTGGTGAACTGCTGTTACAACATTGCGCCTCGCTCTGATTGATATATTGGTTAATAACAGGAGCACTAATGTTGTCTAATTCTTTCGCGCAATCATATGTACAAATGTTTGTCTACTTAAGTAACATTATTAAATGTTACAGTGTTGAAAATATCAGAACTTAGTGTCTACCTTTAATCTTCTTCTACCATATATTAATCGCAAAGCTACCAATCTTTCATTTTGAAACTACCAGTTTAAACGTTCATTTCATGTAAAATTTTTATTGAACTTCAATTTATATTAACTTTTATAAAAGTGTATTATTTTTCCTAACATCTCCTTTGTAAAAGTGTCCATCAGGAAAAAGGTTTTCCCTTGGAAAAATGTTCATATTACCAATTGTGAGTAATGGCTCACATACTTTTTTTTTTGTGGTCAGATTTCCTATCTAATATTTATTCCGTTTGTTGTAGATAAATGACCAGAAGCAAGAAAGCAGTTGGAGTAGTAAGGATAAACTATCCGCACCCGTTGTTTTTGACAATAACCAAGAGCATTATGTAGGTGTTTTTAATGGAAACCAAATTCGGCTGTGGACAAAAGAAGCAGATCAATTAGATAAAATAAAAAAATACAAAGTAAGCTTCACCCTGGACCTTTACTTTTTTTCATCTTGGGCTTCAGGATTATTTCCTATGATATTGGATTTGAAGTGCTAGGCGTATATAGGGAACATCTCGACCATGGTGTCTCAGAATCTCCTTTTTTTTATTATTTTTTTTTTTTTTTACCAATTTCAAATAGCCTATCGGCTAATCCCACGCTTATTACCCCAGCCCCAGGTGACCATTGCCTGAGACCATCAAACTCAGATCACCTGGCCAGGAATCGGACCCGGAACCTCTTGGTCATAGGGCCAGCATTACAACCTCTACACCACAGGAGGCCGACCTCTGCTAACCATTCGTCTAAGCAAATTGATGGCGGACTCCCAAACCATTTACTGAGGTTTGCAGTGTTACAGACTTCCTGTCGTACTTAAATTTTAAATGGATAACTATTCAATTTCAATTCTCTAAAATTTCATTGAATTTTCCTCCCTAGAGGAAAAAAGTTCCGTGAAAAATTCAAGGAATACCTAATGTTGATTTGTTCTCGTTCAAAGTAAAAAAGGAATGCAGATTTCGAAACACCGCAAACAAGATACATGGTTTGGGAGTTTTAGCGTTGAAATGTATGTTATTCTTGAAATGTCTATTGAATCATCTTTGATTTTACTATGCTGTGCTCCGAAAATTTCGGAAAATTCACTCTCTAGTTACTTTGAAGTAAAAAATGACCATTTGATAACTTGGGACAGAGAAGCTTGTATAGTGCAGTATTTCAGTTGAATTGATATCTGTCTTTTAAATTTTTTAATTTTCTTAGGCTCAAAGTAAACTTTCATTTTTCAGTTTAGCAAGGAAATCTTCGGTGTCATCGCTCATAATGAGTTGAAGCGCACCACTGTTGTCGTCTTTCGGGATGGCTGTGTTCTCCCTCTCAGTGTGGCGCTGGAAGATCGCAAAAATATTCCTGATACAGGGTCATTTTTAAACGCGACTCAAACTATTGATCAAGCTCAGCTACTCTCCATATGGAATCATGAATTTGTCGTCTTGCACACTACAAAGGACCAGGTAACCAAAATCTGTTCTAATATTCAACTTCAAAGAATTAAAACTCTTGTCAGTCTCTCACCTTGATGGAAACTGAAACCAAGAAAGTAGGATGGTAAAAAAGTGCTGAGTCCACACTATTTTGAAGGGAAATCAAGGTCAAAAATTTAGAAACAAATTGCAAGCAGAGTCAAAAATATGAGCTGTAGTGAGTATCAGTGCAAGATAGGGGGGTAGAGTATTCAGCTGAAGTATTCCAATGTATCTACCTACGCTGAACTTTCTGGACTTGGCCAAGTCCTCAGCTGGGCCTCAGTCAAGCAGAGAATACTGGCTCCCTTGCCTGTCTGCGGCAAAACAGATCGCTAAAAAGATTGTTTCAAAGGAGTCCATAGTTTGGCGACTTGAAAATCGATTTTCTTCATCAATTCAAGTAAAAAAAAAAATCCAAAAAAATCACTGAGAGTTCAAATCACTTAAAACTTCAAGAAAATGAATTTAAAAAGATAAGAGCAACACTGACCCATTTTTTGTTTTTAAAAAAAAGAAACGAAGTAAGAACATCATTTTGAGGCCTGGCAATATAGATACACAGTTTTTTCGCTCGCAACATGGCAAACCCTCTCGCTCCCATCATGGGCAAGCTTTTATTTACCTTCCACATGATTTTTTAAAGAAATTACCTATAATTTACAATCATAGAGCGAATAATTAAAATTGATTGATTTTAGCTCTTTTGTTAATCAAAAATGTATCAGCTTAATTTTTTATTGCATTGCAATCAATACAATCTGTCTCAACAAAGTTTCAGATACTATTTTTCATGAAAATTTTTTGCTTAAGCCGAGTTGTTTTTTTACAATGAATGATTTGTTGCTCAGGAAATCACATGCTTGGAGTTGGTACCCCTGTTACCAGAAACACTTTCTCATGTTAGTTTGGAACTCAAGTATCCTGACGATGATGGTATTAAATTAGTCGGCCATTGCGTTCATGCTTTTGAATCGTGTCAACTCATCACTCTCTGTAAGTTCTATGCGTAACTTTTCATTTCTGAAGCACATTTCAGCTTCCCAGATCCAAGTGATACCTAACTTAAATTTTTTGGTATTTTGAGTAATTAGGGAATCTCCAATAACGAATCTGGGTGTTACAAATTTGGTAGCCTTGTCTCATCCTGGTCAAAAGATATGAAGTCCCAAAAATTGCAATTTTCATGAATTTCAATGAGGCTGACGCATGGTTTCCCTTGAGTTCTCGAAACGACTGAAATGTAGTCAGGGACCATTTCATTCATGGGCAGTTATTTCAGTCACACGTCAAAGTCTATGGGCTCTCACTGCAATACTTCCCCTCCAACATCACGATGCAACAACTTACTGACATCCTAGAGAACGAAGTACAATTGACATTACTTGGAAAAAGGAGACGAAAGGAAAAAGACATTGCTCCTCCAAATGTAGAACCACAACTTACAGAATACCAATAATGGTAACTACTGATTACCTGTGGAAAAAGTAAAAAAATTCAATTCTGGAAAATTAACATCGGCAGTAGGAAAGACTTTAAAACTGGCCCTTTGTCCCAATTTATGCAAAGATCTTCCAAAGCTTGAAAAAGCATCGCATCACTCCTGTAACTAATATTGTTTGTGTTACCCCAGCTATTTCTCCCTCAGTTTCATTGATATGGTCCTTCTTTCGTCTTCTAAGTCGAAGGGGGAAAAGAAGAGAAGAAAAACACCGCATCAATGCTATTGGAAACTTGCTTTTTGTTTTTAGGGTCGAATGGAAAATTGTATTCTATGGAACTGCTGACAAGCGTGACTCAGTCTTTTCCTGGTCGGTGCCTAGCTACATTGTCTGTTTTAAATTCCAAACACCCGGTAAAAATTACTTCAATTGGTTCTCACCATATTGCTATCTATGGTGCAGATCCCTCTGAAGAAGGTATGTATGTATCATTGAAGAAAAATCTTTGGAGCTCATTCCATATTAAGAAAATCGTTACTCCTCTTATGTAAATCTTGTGTTTTTTCGCTATGAGAAAACTTGAATGTCAGACACTCCTGTCCTCGTGTGAAATTACTTAGATCTTGACTGTCTAATGGAAAACGTACTTGATAGACAGACTCTCTACAGAATTTTCTCCGTATCTAAAATTATCAGCAGAGCAATTTGTGTCAAGCTTGGTCGAAAATCGCCAGTCAATAGAGTGCTAACAACTTTTGAGTGCCGTTGTCCTTAATTTGAATCTCTAGAGGCGGAAATTTTGTCCATTGTTGAGCAAAATTCAGCGTAATTAAAAGATGAAATGTAGGTGGAGGTGTAGATCAAAGGTCAAGGAAAAGTTAGAAAATCAGGAAATGAAGAAATTATTGAAACCTTCTGATCTGGTTGCTGCTGGAACAGAATAGATATTTTAGCATGCTATCCTAACTTTATAGGCGATGTGCATTTAAACGATAGTTCAACAAATCCAACTTTGAACTTTTTTTTATGGCTTAATATCATTCCCAAAAAATCCAGGAAAATTTCTGCGAACTAACTGCACTTCCTACTCTTCAAAAAGTCAATAATTTAAATTACGGACTCAAAAAATAAAAATTCAACGTAAATAAATTCAAGGTAGAAGAAATCAATGAGTTCACTACCATATGATATTATCAATCACTATAATTTCAAAGGGTGTTTTCAAGTGCATAAGTCGAGCATTGAAATTATTACTGAATGTCTAATTTATTGGTTTCTATTGACTCATAAGTTCTGAGGAAGCAAATAACCTATTAAGAAGGAGGAAATTTATTTTTATACTACATACTGTCTTCTTTACTTACAGGAGCTGTGCTGATAATTTTCAATATTCAATTTAGTCTGGTACAGTGTAGGCAACTTTTCAAATTATTCTCCAACCCCCCTCGACTGTGGGTAATCGGATCGAATCTTATTTTAGCTGAGCAGCAACACTTGAAAGTGATACCTTTCAGGTACGTTTTTTCATCCACTCATTAGAACTGATATTCGGACTGCATCTAGCAAAAAGGGCCCAAATCACATCTGTCATTGCCAAATTTCATTGGATGCTTTATTTGTTAGCAGGAGAACGGTTAAGTGGATTCTTCTGAAAATTTCTGGAGATTTCCCCTATGATGTGAGGCAAATTCCTTGAAATTTACAAAAAAATTCATGCAACTATGCTACCGTAACTAAATGAATTGTCGGACAAAATTTGGCAATAGTTTGGTTCCTTTTTGCTTAACAGGGTCCATTTAACATAGTTTGTGCAGCCTTGAAAAAGCCTGATTTTTAATTTTTTTTCACGGTCTTGGGAGTGCTTAAATTTTGTTCCTTAATAATTTTCAGGGATAAATGCTCATTGTATGTACAGAGTTAATAATAATAAAAGGAAGCAGAAGAAGAAAAAAGAAGAACAGAAGAAATCCTAACAATTTAAGTTCACAATACGGAGAGTAAACCGTCCATTAAGGAAAGAATTACAAGAGAGGTTTTGAGAAGTGCCCACTAAAACATTAAAAATTGTTTGATTCCATTCTTGAGGCTGCTCAAACCATGCTCTAGTAAACTTTGAAACTACTCAGTCAACTCTTCAAGAAAAAAAATTTTAGCGTGGTATTCTAAAGACTGTATGACTTTAAGATATGTAGGAAATTGTTTTCCTTTAAATTTTTGTGCATTCTTGCACCAAGAATGCAAAAAGTACCTTGCGTTTTCACTTTCTAATTTACCGTCCTATTTTGAAGACTCTTCATTTTTCCAAATTGTTTGTATTGCACTTTTGTTTTCAGCTTACTTTTGTTTTTTTAAAAAAAAATTATCCGCAATTTTGTGCGAACTACCTAATTTTTACTGCCTCTCATATTAAGTAGCCTTACCATTTTTTTAACTCGTTCCATCGCCTTCCTACGTGTGCACATGACCTGTTGTTTGTGCAGTTGAGAAGTCTTAGCACTCTTATTCTGAGAAAATTTCTAAATTTTCCAAAGGGAAAATTTTAAAAAATGACTGAAATTTCGAGAAATTTGCAATGGCCTATATTGAGTCACAATATCTCCGAGTTTGACCCTTTAGATGTTGCAATTGAGGTTGGATTCTTTTAGAAAACTGTCAATGGTAATGTGTCCCATGCTAATCGTTAGCCATTTTATTTGATTCATTGTAACAATAAAATATTTTATATGCAGGCACTTTCATTCTAATTTTAATTTGAAAATTACATTCTAAAATTGCAGGTTATCAGCTCAAAGACTATCCGCTTTAATTGGATCTCATCGGCCAGCGCAGAGAGAAGGTGTCACGGTCGGTGAATGGGTGGGGCAGCTGTCTTTGAAAAAAACTGGCCAAAAACCATTACCTCCCTCCGATGTTTTTCCAGAATCCGTCGTAGAAACAATTAAAGAATTAACGCTTTCAGGCTCCTCTGAATCTGTGTAAGTGCATATTTAACGCTGCTCTTTACAATCAGCCCTAAACCGCATTAAAAGATGGTCCTTATCTTTCATGTTTTGGCTCCGATTGGCGTGAAAATTTTCACCTTACCATAGTCCTGCTGTCTTTCATAATGACAATGCTCTTGTATCAGTTACGTACAGAGAGACCCATAGGTCCTGCACCACTCCTATGGGTCCTTGCCTAAAATCATCACAGAAATGCTTTCTGAATGTTATTGATTAGCAGTCAATAATAAGATTCATCTGAACAATAAGTTTAAACGTTCAGTTCAATGAAGATAAAAATGCCAGATGAATATATCATTGGATGGTTTCCTTTACCTTGTTTCACTTTTTAGTGGTTAGTGTAATTCACATTGTGAAGAACTCGCTTTTTTCAACAAATCTTATCTTAGCTCTCACTTTTAGTTGCTTTTTCAACACAAAACTCACTCTTTTCGAGAACTAATTTGGATGTATTTATGCTAAGAGAAACTATATGCAGAGAGCTTGTGTGCAACATAGTTCTGTGTAGCATTAATATGTCTATTTGTAATTTTCTGATTTGCAGTAGCCATCCAGGTCTGTAAATATTAGTCAACAAGGTGAATACTGCAAAGAAACTTGAATGGTAAACTTTTAAAAATAAAAATATCAAATTTCATCTCTCTGTCACCATCATTTTTTGATCATAGTCAATTTCAGCTAAATTCTTAGATAATCGAACTCATACCTGTTTTTAATCTTTTTCTTTGCAGGATTTGTGAAGTAGTAGTCCCTCAACTGATAGAGAAAAACAGTTTAGCTGGTCTAACGTGGATACTTCACTTTTTTGTCGACATCCCAGACGCCTCCCTTCTGAAGATTCTAGTGCATTGTTTAAAAAATCCGTCTGAAACTGAGCAAAAGGGTGTCGCTTCCTTGATTCTTCAAAAGCCAGCCGTACAAAACGTTAGATTGTTTCGGAGTCACAGCTCATTTCAATCTACCGTTAATCTATTGTCAATAATTAATGAGCTACTAGGTGAATCTTTAGGCGATTGTAATATTTTGAACTGGGCTTGCCTGTGTCTGGATGCTTATTACCAACAATTTTTACTCATCAAGGATGCTTCAACCTTAGAATTGCTGAAGTCTGTCGCAGATGCAGTCTCATCAGAGGTAAGATTCTGTTCTTTCAAAAGACTAACGCTTGTTGAAGCATTGACCCTTTCTGTTTTTATGTCATACAAGCATTGCTTTCTACAACCAAGTGACCGTCGCCCTCAGGAAAACATAACCTGTCCTTATCGCTCTTGCTCAACCCCTGTATGTTTTCATCTCTGTCTAGTGCCAAAATTTATCTTTCAGTTTTTGACAATGAACTGAGGATGTATGTCTATTGGCTTTGTTTTCTACAAAAGCCATTGAAATGGACACACATAAAATAGTATATCGATTGATCTCCGGTGTGTTGATAGATTAGATAGATCGGGGCCTCAGAAATTTTGTCTCTTTATTGCATATTTTACATCAATGTTTTTATGCGATAAATGCATTTCTCAGTTGTTTGTTTTATATTTTTCAAGGAAAACTAATCTAAATTTTTCCTTGTAATTTTGGGTGATTTTTTTTATTATTTAGGATGAGTGAAGGAAATTCACAAAAAATTTCAATGAAAACTGTTGGTTGGTTTTTCCTTTAAAGAATAAAACACGAAGGGAGGCTTACAAATTTACAATCTGAGATGTGTTTTTTTCGACTTTAGCCATTAATATCAAGTATTGTATCTTTCTTTTTTTTTTTTGAAATTGTGTCGCAGGTTGTGTGTGGCTCCTTGCCCAGTTTTACAGATTAAAAATTTTATTTTGATGCTGAAAATCGGCTTACAGTCAAATGAGAGAGATAACTTATGAAAGAAATCCCATGTCTCCTCAACATAACCCCAGTCTGATTCTAACTGGAAAAAGCGTCAAAGCTCTCATTGAATTTTATGATGCACGAGTCGGTGAATGTGGTTGTGCTATGAAAATGCTCTGTGAAACAAACGTAGTGTGCGTTGTTCTCATATGTTTATTTTATTTCATGCAGCTGGACAATCTATTGAGCTTCAGTTAGACCACATGAAACGTAGTCTGTGTATATATGGAGCTCACTCAGTGTGAAATTGGTCACCTTTCGGTCAAAGTATCACAAGCACTATTTGAACTGCATTTTGCAATTACAATTTCGAGCTCACTATCAGTTTAGAAGCAATGTTTGTAGCATTAGTTCCCCTACAGACATTGTTTTCATGGATGAGCCAGATATTGTAGTTCCAAATCGCAAAATGCAGTCAATTTGTGCTTAGGTACCATGTTGCCTAACTTCTCACACTTTCCCAACTTTTTGCAAGAAAACTAAGGAACAGAATCACTTGAAAATTTTACCTAATATTTCTTTTGTCATCAAGATTAATCCTTAAAATTATATGAAAGTGTATGCTAAACTTTAAAGAAAAAAATTAAAACATGTTGAGGTGTCCGGCAACATAGGATAAATGGTGTTCATGATTTTATGGACGGAAGGTAACAAAGTCCGGAAAGGAGAAATATTCTTTGTAAAGATAGGATTCAAGATTCAAGTCCGCACGTTTAGGCAATTACCATACACCAAAAAAGATACGTCCTCTTTGACTGTCCATACTCTCAGTGCTAAGATGGGACCCACACAAACTGGGTTACGGCCTTCTCTTGGAACTATTAGTGCCAATTATTTTCATTTGTATTTTCTGAGGTAAAAAAATTAGTGGATTTTTGTCGGGATGAATCTCCCAAGTAGTTGAGTATCCAGTCTCCTTGAGGTCTGTTACATTCTTCTTTTTCTCATAATGGACCACTAGACAAGGTACGAATTTAAGCATTCTGATACATGTTTCTTAACCAGAATTTCACGTAAAACACGATTAGTGCAACGAAAATGACTAAAAATAGCTTCTAACGAAGATATCAACGTTTTTATTTCACATTGGTTACAAGAGATTTGAACTGCCCGCTCACAAGAAACTCAAAGCTCTACGTGAGTCAAATCGCGCACTACAACGGTTTCAGTAATCTNGTCCTCAGAATTTCCGAGGTCTTAGAAAGTAGAGGTGTAAAAGACTCATTTTTCACGAAAATAAGTCGAAAGAGGGTGTAAATGAACTGTAGGCAAGTGTTGAGGATGCAAATGTCATCAGAACTTCCTCAGTTTCAAAAAAAGTTCCAACTATTGTTGTGGGAACGCTTAAGTCTTTACAGGCTTAAGTTTCCCACATTCGGCTCCATAGATGAGGCGTGCTTTGCGTCATGGCTTTTCGTGAGAATTCACGGATTTCCATTGCCAGCAATAGAGATAGGTCCGTCGGAAGTTAGCGCTTGTTTATGTCTAAACGTGAAGCTTCAGTGTCGCGGAAGTGCACACGTTTTGACATAAAAAGATTCGGTGATCACATGGGCGGGATCAGTCTCGAGGAAAAGATTCCCAGATGATCCGGTCGGCCCCTGTGAGTGTAGCTTGAGTGTAACTTGTGCGCGATCCCCCCCACAACATGTTGCAGGCGCCGTGTCATCTTGTGATATCGTAGCGATTCCGGTACCCCTTCGTTTTTTGTTTTTTTAGTTATTCCCAAAGTTTTCGCGTTTTCAAGTTCCAAAGTTTTTCAAAATCACGCAGTTTTTATTTTTTCTTGCTTAATACAGAGTAGACAGTGTAGTGTGTACTGTAGTTTTATTGTGACCAGGTAAGAATATGTGTTTTTTATTATTACCCGTTTTCATGTCTTAAAAACTGTAAGATAGATTGATCTAATTTTTTTTGTTTTGTTTTTTTTTTTTTTAAATGAAAATTTTGAGATGGATGTAATTGAATCAAGCGGGTTTGAGCAACAAGTCTCAAAGAAACCATCTTTCATCCATGAGTATATGGATTTAGTGAATAGTG